CAGTGCCGGAGGTCGAGCGGCGTCCGTGCTTCCATGAAGCCTGGTGGCCTGAACTCCCGATTATGGGTCTCAGACGGGCTCGCAGATCACTGCCGTCAGATTCTTCCGTGTGGGGTCCGCACGGCAGCCTCGTTGTCGAGCTCCTGGTATTCCCCGAGGGTTTTCCTCATGGGATTCTCTATAACATATGTCTTGACGACCTTCAGTCTCGGCATTCTGGGTGCAGTGCGCCGTAATTGAAGCAGGTGAATTATCGATAACATGTCTTGGCTGCAGACCGTGGAAGATACCACCACGGCGTGGCTGCCACCAGTTTATTCGTCTGGAGGGGGGAATCTTCTCATCAGCCCCTGTCTCCGAGTCGAGCTGGAGTATTCAGTTTGCGATTTTGTTTGCAGTCGCCGGCTTTCCATGGGGCCGTGCGTACATTCCTTTCCTTGACCTGGGGTTCGGGAAAGGTGGCGGCAGCTTTGCCAACTTTCGTGCAATGTATAGAATAGCTGTGGTCGCTGACCTCTTGTCTCTCGTGCCTATGTGTCCCGTGCCGCTAGCTGTTCGAGCAGCATGCACCGGTTCTGGTGCTCCGCCGACTGCGTGTCTCCTAGCTCCTCTACGCTTTCACATGTCGGTGGCCCGTGTGTCTGGCTGGTCTGCTGACCGTCAGCGCCTTCCTTGGGGCTTTCCCATCGCCCCATTGCTGGGTACCCAGCCTGTCTTGCCTGCTTGCCTTGGCTCCATTCTGCCGCACTGCGTCTGCCATCGACGCAGCGGGAGCCAGGGTCCTGGGCCGGGGCCGGGCACCACCACACAGGGGTTCCTGACTTTGACAGTTGACTTCGGTCAAGCTTGCACGCGTGAGCATTTCGGAACGATCCTCTAGAGCGAGTTGGAGAGTTGAGGTGAAAGCCTTCCTGAAACACCTTGTCGCCCTCAAGTCCCAGATGGTTTGTTGCTGTGCTTGTGTCAACACCGTGCTGCGCCGAGCATGTGCGAAGTCTGTGGGAGGAGGAGAAGGAAGGATTGTAACCGTGGAGTCGGCAGGACAGATTTTTCGCAATAGGGCGCACCGGTCCTCCACATTTGCTTCACCTGGAAGCTTTGCAGTGCGCGTCAATGATGCTTATCGCTTTGTGGCTTGCATTTTGCATGATGTCAGTGAAGCGAACCTCATATACCGAGAGGTGCGAAGCAGACGTTGCCGTCTTTCTCAGTCTGCCCTCCGCCATGTCCTGACTTTTCTGGCGTGCTCTTGCTCGAGGCCATTCGGACAGATCGAGTAATCGTCGCAATTCTCGGTGGGCGCCCAGCAGGAGGGGAGACAGAGGGGGCGGGCCCTCTCAGAGGGGTCTGAAGGCATCCAGCCTTCAGACCCCCATCGCGCCTTCCGAGAAGTGGTCTCCGTCTTCGGAGAAGGCCTCGGACACCTCTCGGCAGGAGGCCAGAGGCCTTCGCAGCCTTCCAGGAAGGCCCGCTCCCTCCTCACTTCCCCCCCTGGGCTCGCCGCCGACGACGGCATCACGACTGAAGGCCTTCCAGAATCTCCAGGCCTTCGCCGAAGCCACAGCCCGCCGCTCACGATGCGGGCTGCCTGCCGAGCAGCCCCGCCGCCTGCTGGGCAGGCCAGCCCCATCTCGTGTTTCCCCTCTCGGCTCGCCGCCGAGACCCGAAACTGCTTCTGACGGCCTGTCGACGGCCATCCCGCCAAGTGGAGACCGCCTCTTTCAAGCAGTGGCGAAGCGTCCTGGCTCGCCCATAGCCCTACCAGACAATGTTCTAAGAACTGTGGTTTCCGCGAAATGTTCTTAGAACATGCCTGGCGGAGTTTGTCCTGTTTTATCACATCGTGTTTATGTTCTAAGAACACGGTTTTTGTTTTTGAAAGATTTCTGGGTTCTAAGACAATTTCGTGGTAGGACTGTAGAAATGCCGGGACGGTCGGTCCCTGCTCAACTCTTTGTCGTTTTTGAATTCGTTGTTTTGCTGATCGGCGCGGAGGCCCTCGCACCCCCTGTTTTTTTTGCGTTTGTTTCGAGCAGGTGGAGTCCCTCCCCTTCAGGACGCACTGTTCCAAACAGTCGCACCCAGCAGAGGTCCAGAGCTAGACCCCCCCCCTTTCCGCCCAATGTCGAAACGCCGAATAACAAATGCTCACCTCCTGCATTCCCGCCTGAGGGACTGCATCGTAAGGGGGGATCGGATCAGGGTGGGATGCATCGGCCCCCAATCGCCCATTCATCGCCCAAGGGGGCCCGCGTACGGTGCGGATTCGCTATCTGGGGCCTATCGCGATCTATTGGCGATGTATCGCCGATTCCAGGTCGCTGCCCCCCCTGAGCTGGTCCCCTGGTGGTTTTCGGGTCATAATGTAGGCCTCTGGCGGCCGTTCGAAAGTATCCGGGCACCCAGGGAACGCTTTCGGCAAGTTGCAGCCGCTGGAAGGCATCCCGATATTGGACCGCCGCCGAGAACCAACGAACGCGCTCGAAACCCTCAAACCTCGAACATCGAGACTTCGAGCCAGTCCCCCCCCCCCCTCCACGCTTGCGCTGCGGCGCTGCGCCAGGGGCGTTGCCCCTGGGATTCTCGTTGTCCGCGGGCCTGCGGCGGCGGCCGAACCGCGCCTCCCGCCCCCGCCCCTGTGCCCCCGGCCCTTGCCTTCGCGGCTTCCCCGGGTCGGAGGTGGAGGGGTCGGCTTCGGGGGCCCCGAGCGGTGCGTGAACTGGGCGGCTCCCGAGCGGCCGGCGGCGGCAGTGCGTGCAGCGGCCGCGTGCCGTCCACGCACGGTTCTAGTGCTGACTGGCAAGCGGCGCTGTGACCACACCGTGGTCCATGCCAGGCCCACGCGATGCGGCCCGGGTCCTCCTCCTCCCGGTCGTGCGCAGAGCGCGGTGTCGCTCGGCATGGGTCGCCCGCCGGTGACGCGTCTTTGGCCGCGAGCCGGTGGGCGAGGCGAAGCTGCTCTCGGGAGTGGGGGGCTCAGCGGCGAAGTGTCATCGGTCGGGGAAAAGTGAGGCTCGGGTTCGCCAGAACTTGGATTTGCCAATGCTTTTTGAAGAGCCCGTCATGGATTTTGACGGTCCAGTTATCGTGGGATGCTTGCAGCGGGAGTTCGCGTCGAATTCCAGACTGGGTCTCGTCATTTTCTTGACGGCCCGTCAGGCCAACCCGAGTCCCTCTAACCCGAGTCTAACGTCTCCCCGACTCGGGGGCCTCTCAGCGGTGTGGTGGCCACACCGCGGATACGCGGTCACCGAACGGCTTTGGGATTCGGGTCTTCCTCCGAGGACGTCTCGGGCGACGCTTGCCAAGGTCCCCAAACCGCACCGCTTTGGGACCCTTTGGAAGGCTCCCGACGGGCGAACTGCGTCGCCTGCAGGGTGATGTCTATGTCTCCGTCGGAAATGGCGCATGCCCGATCTTGTTTAGTACCACCACGATGCTCGCATTCCCCAAGTTGCTCCGCATCGCCAAAAGTCTACAAATGAGTTCTCTCATATTGGACTGATAGTGCGCCTGGTGGCTGCTTGTTTGCTGTACGTCTTGCGCGATCCGATTTTCTGGTGGACGTTCCCGCGATGGCACAGTCGTTGGTGCCCTTTGGCGGGGATCGTTGAGGGCATGACTGACGGGCTTGCAGGGCAGCGACAGGGAGAACTCCCAGCTCTGCGGGCGTGGCCTGGGGAGGGATGGGGCCAGTCTTGTCGCGATTCGCGCCGCCGACGCCGTCTGGGGATGTTTACGAACAGGATTGCTGAGGAATGCTGTGGACCCTTCAGGGTGGGGAAGGGGTGGCGGGGGCAACCACGTGCGTTATCGCGAATACCTGTTAACGGCGGGCATCACTCCTTGTTACATTGTGGGTCCGGACGGCCACGATCTCTGGTACAATATATATATACATATGTACACACACGGCCGTGTTCGATTTCGTTTGAGACGCCCTCACACGTTATTCGCCGTCTACCACAGGGGGACGGGGAACCAGCAACCGCCATGTTCGGCAAGCGTTTTGCTTGAGATACCCTCGTGATTTATTCAAGGATTGTGCTCTCGCGTCGATGCCGGCAACATCTTTTGGTCGGGAAGGCCACGGTCCCGATGGTCGGACAGGCCCCACAGGTCCCATAGGGCCAGGTTTTTGGATCCAACAAGTCCCAAACATTTACCGGGTCCCACAGGCCTCACAGGCCCCACAGGCCCCGCAAGTCGTACAGGCCGAACAGGTTCCACATCCCATACGCCTCACAGGCCCCACAGACCCCACAGGTGCCACGCGTCGTATAGGTCGCACAGGTCCCTGGCTCAAGTGGGGGCTCAAGTGGTGCTCTTTGTATTTGGGTAATTCCAGTGGTGCTCTTTTGTTTGTCTGCAAGATGGCATCGGCTTCTGACATCACGGGCCTGACCCAGGAGGCCTCGGAGTTCCACATTCGGGGCCCCGCCGCTGACATCGATATCGGCATCCCTGCCGTCTCCGTGGCCGCACCTCCTGGACTACCTGGTCACGGGCCTCTTCTGGACGAATGGCTCCAGGACTTCGTGGGGGACGAAATCGCCAGACACTTTGAATTCGTGCAGGCCCTCAGCCCCACGCAGCCGCAGGACCTGCAGAACCTGCCCATCCAGATCCCCCCCACGTGGGACGACCTCAACTCCATCCTCGCCAAGCTCGCCTACAACCCCTTCTCCGCCAACCCATGGACAATCCTTGGGTTCGGCCCGTTGGACGGCCCCGAGCCCATGGAACATTGCATCGCGACCCGTACGCGGACAGCCATCACACTCTGCTCTCTCGGGCGGCGTGCCGATTGGGAATTGTCTGGGAGGGAGCGGGCAGAGGCTACTGCTGCGATTTTCGCGGCTGCGGGTACCCGTTGCGAGGAGCAGCTGAACGACATTCCGCGCGAGCGCCGCCGGCTCCGCCCGTCCCAGCTCCCGCGATGGAAGTAATTGGGAGAATCGGCAGTGCAAGCTGTCCGGGCGATACCTGCTTGCGCGGAGGCAGTGTTGGCCACGCAGTGGTTTCAGCTCCTCAGCGATGCCTCCACGGACCAGTCGGCCACCATCGCCCAGCACCGCACTTTGGCCACTCTCTTGGAGAGGGGCGACACACGTGTCCTTTGCGATATTCAGGGGCGGAAGGTGGTGGCATGGGCCCCGGGGGACACCGACGCACTCCAGAGGATACTCACTGGCCTGCTGCGGGAGCCCGACCCAGCACTTCGACCTCAAAGCCTCTCGCTCTTGGCCCCGATCCCTCACTTTCCTGGGGTTGACTCCCACGCCAAGCTGTTCGACCTGTGGTGGCACCTTCTTCTTGGGGAAATGTCTTTGTACGTCTCCTTGGTCCGATCGGTGGACATCGTCTTGCAGCCTGTGGAATACATCCTCCTTGGCCGTACTGGTCCTCGGCATGTCCGGCAGGGCCTCGTGAGCTTCGCCGTCGCCACATCCGGCGGCCGCTCCCCTCCGGCTATCGTCTTCCCGCTGACCCTGTGGGTCGGCTTCCCCGCCGAGCGCCTGCCGACCTTCATGCACAAGATGCGCAGTCCTGATGTGAGCGACCACGCAGTCCCCTTACGCTGCCGCCATACATCCAGGAGTCCAGGAAACATTCCGGAGTGCCGGCGCGTGTTGATGGAGATCTTGCTCCCTGGCTCGCTCTCCGAGGCGGGCTCCATGCTCGTCGCGCGCTTCTTGCGGAGACGTGTGCTGGCCGCCGATATGTACGTCGCCCATAGGGATCTGTACGCCTCACCAGACGCCCTCATCATGGAGTGCAACAGCCCACTGGCATTGGGCAAGGCCTGGGCACTCTGCTTGCAGGCAGTTTTCCTCTCCACGGACCGGGTGCTGCTCTCCACGTCCGCTTCCGCTGAGTCGTGGACTGCGTTGCTCGACCAGGCCCTCAAGGACGATGAGGACCACGCTATCACGAAGATCGAGTGGAAGGCCAGCAGCTTCGGGGGGCGGCCTTGGGCATTCCCATCGGCTACTCCTGCGGCCCTTGCCGCCCCCCGTCGCCGTCGTGGGCGCGGAGGCCGGAACTCGCCCTCATTGGACAACATCGCGGAGGTCCGCGTGACTGGAGAGACCGGGGACTCAGGCAGCGTGGTTATCGACGAGCTTCTTGCTCACGTCAGCGCGTCCACAGGTGCGACTCGCTCTCCTGCCCCTGTGGGTCACGGGCCAAAGCCTGGCCAGTGGGTTCATCTCGCCTCTCGGGATTCTGGCGCGCATCCTGCACACGCCCGCATCTTTTTGCACAGCCAGGAGGAGGTCCAGATGGTGATTCGCACGCTGCATGGCCAGGTGCTCCAGGTCGGAGTGGACTTTTTGGCAATTGCGGTGTCCAACGACATGCAGGACTGCAACACCATCTCGGGAAACAGGCGGCGGGGGGGGGCAAGGGGCTGCCTCCCCCGCCGCAGCATGAGCCGTACAGACACTTCGACCCGCTTGGGAATTCAGATTTTTGACTGCATGGGTACCTCCTGCTGGATTGTGGACGTCGCCTTCGAGCTCCAACCGGCCAGCGCCGGTCCAGGCTTACAGTGCCGCGCCCCCGCCAGCAGATCTGGGCATACTCCGTCGTCTTGTTCTTCGTCGTCTCCCGCTTCCTCCAGTACTTGCCGTACTTCATCGCGATTCCCAGCACTGTCAATTACCAATCTTCTCCCCAGCGATTCTCTGGAGCAGCTATCCCACGAGCCGCAGGCGGACGTTCCGGTCCAGATCCGGCTGCGGAATCTTCTCCGCCGCGCGCTAAACTCCAGTGCATATTCATCTGCAGTGACGCCCCCGAGCGCTCCGTCATCGGGAGCTCGCAGCGTTCGTCCCTCCCTTGCTGGGAGCCCATTTCTTGGCGAGGTCTCAGTGGTCACTTGGAATAGCCAGGCCCTCTTCGCCGCAGACCCTGGCCGGCATCGCCGAAAGGCTCATTATGCGAGGAAGGTCATGGGCACCCATGACATCGGCCTATGGACAGAAACCCGCGGCTCGACGGGCGGGAACGCGGTTTGGAGAGACCCTTCTGGATGCACATTTTGGTGGTCTCCGGGCCCCGCGCCTGCCAGGGCCGGGGTCGGCATTGCAGTGAAGAGCTCGTTCTTGGAGCAGTTCGCAGCGCGACCTCGTTGGCGCGTTATTTAATCGCTTCGCTCATTCCGCCGGCCCGTATTGTGCCATCGCAGGCGTTTGCTTGCGCGTTCGTGGCGTCTTGGAGCCTCGGTGGGGCCGTTTGGGGCCTCTTGGCGCCTCTTTTCAGGCCTCTTGGAGGACTCGGGAGGCCTCCAGGGGGCCTCCTGAGCTCTCGTGACGGTCTCTTCGGGGGCTTTCGGCGGGCTCTTGGCGGTATTTGTTGGTCCTCTTGGGGCCTGGGGCCTGACGTTGTTGGTCCTCTTGGGGCTTCACGGGAGCTTATTGGGGCGTCTTGGGGGTGTCTTGGAGAGTCTCTTGGGGCCTCTTTCGGGGTCCTGGGCGCCTTCTGGGGCGGAGGGCTCGATTTTTCAGTTGTCGGTTCCCTTCTTGAGCCCCTCTTGGGCCCGTCTTGGGGCCTCTTGGTCCGCCTTGGGCAGCACTTGGGCCGTCTGGGGGGCGCTCTTGGGCCGCTCCGGGTCTTGGGAGCCTCGTGGGCCGTCTTGGAGCAGTCTTGAAGGCCTCTTGGGCCCTCTTGGAGCGTCCGGAAGCGACAAGGCCAGAACGCAAGAAAACATCGAAAAAACAATGAAAATCAACGATTTGGGCAACTTGGGGCCCTCTTCGGAGGCCTCTTGGAAGGCCCTTGGAGCGTCTTGGAGGCCTCTTGGGCTGTCTTGGGGCCATCTGGGGCGTCTTCGGGCGATCTTTGGCTGTCTCGGGCCTCTCTTGGACCGTCTAGAAAGCTTTTCGGGGCCCTCTTGGACCGATCTGGAGCCCTCTTGGACTCCGAAACAGAACTCCGGCATTTCTGGCCCGACCTTGCCGGGGACTTGCCGGGACCTTGCCGGGGTACTTTTCGTCCGGGGACCCCCAGGGGCCGCCCCGCGCGCGCGAACTAGAAATACTGTTAACCAGGCGCCGGAGATCTTAGGACGCCCTGGCGCAGCGCGACCTCGTTGGCACGTTATTTCACTTGGGCGGGCCGCTGCGCTTCGCCTTCGGGGTCCAGCCGGGCACTTGGACATATTCGTGGTGTATTTCCACGCGGGCGCCACCGTGTGCCAGCGCGACGCCGAGGCAGCAGGCGTGTCCCACCTGGGCCGCCCACCTACATTTGCGGAGCTCCGCAGCGCCCTCCGGCAGCGCCTCTCGCAGCATCTCGCCCCGAGGGATCAGGCGCTCACCATCCTCGGGGGCGATATCAATTACGTGGCGCAGCCTTGCGACAGACGCTGCTCCAATACAGCTACTGTCACGGGTGGGCAGGATCGCGGAGAGGAGGCGCATTGGCACCGGCACGTGGGGCTCCCGTATGGGCTTCACGAGCTCCACCAACCAGGGATGACTTATGCGTCTCCCAACTCCCGGTCGCGCTTGGACCGGATTTATTGCAACCAGTCTGTGGTGGAGGGATTCGACAGAAAGTTGATTTGCGCTCCCCTGGGGCGGCTGCCGGAGCTCTCAAGGCATCGAGCCGTGAGCTTTCGACGCGCCCTTCCACGCCGAGCGCCTGATGCAGCGGCCCCTTTCCCTGATCAGATCGTGGACCACCCAGAGTGGCCCCAAAAGGTGGCCCTAGTTAGTTTGGCACGAGCCGTTGGCCGCCGAGGTCGCTCCTTCCCCTCCCCGCTGGCTGGTGGTTCTCAAGAAAGCGATGCGGCAGGCAGCCAAAACGTGGATATTGTTACACGAGGACCGCCTCGGGATTGCCACGAAGTTCCTTCGCGCGTCGGAGAAGGGGTCCGCAACCGGAGCAAGCCAGTGCATCGTGAAGAACCCCCTCCTAAGGACCTTGAGGACAACCCCTACGACTTCACCACCAGCCCCGGGCGTCGTTTTCGTCTTGTTCGCATCCACGCTATCGACGTCGCCCGGGACCGCGCCATGGGCAAGCTGGGCGAGCTCCACGCGGACCTCAAGGACCTCTCTGATGCGCAAGCGGCGCGGCGGCGGCAGCATAATCACCGCCTGCCCACGCGCCTGGCCCCTGGGCGCGGGTGTTGTCATTGCGCTCTCAGTGACGGCGCTGGGCATGTCAGCGCAGCTCTAGGACACGTTGCCCGAGTGCTTCGAGACCATTTGGTCCGGCGTTATCCGTCGTCGAGACACGGATCGCGCCTTGCGCCGCGCATGGCTCGCAGAAGACGTCCTTCGCGCGTTCCCGGCGGATGCCCGGCATGTCCCTGGCGACGCTTTGCCGTTCGAGTTCTTCGAGCGGGCGGTCCGCATGACGAACGGCAGCTCGCCTGGCCCAGATGGCGCCCCTTTCCGCGCGTGGAGGGCGCTGGGTGGATTCGCGACTACGGCGCTTCACGACGCTTTCGTGTCTATCGCGAGCCCAGCCGGGATGGGTTTGCTGCAGTCGGACTGGGGCGCTTTCAACGAGAGCTCGAGAGCTCGAGAGCTCCATGGTCTTCCCCCCAAGAAGCGTTCTGGCGCGACCCCGGGCGGCGTGGTCATCTACGGCGCCTCAGACATGCGGCCGCTCAACATCGCGAACACAGACGACGAAATCATGGGCAGCGCCATGCGCGCGTGCATCGAGCCGCCCGGCGCCCCAGGGATCTCGGAATCCCAGCGGGGCTTCTTGCAGGGGCGTTCGATGCTCGCTAACCTGTTGGGCGTCGAGGAAGTCATGATCCACCGCTCGCTCACTCACGAATCCTCTGCGGTCGTCTTCTTCGATTTCGATGCTGCGTTTCCGAGCGTCTGCCAATATTTCTTCTTCGATGTTATCGAGGCCTGTGGGTGGCCAACATGGAGGTTCAATTTTGCCGAGGCGCTGTGCTGGAATAACAGATGCAGGATCGCGCATTCGGGCGCAACCTTCGATGGTTTCGAACTCACCGCGGGGGCCCGGCAGGGTTGCCCGCTCTCTCCGATTCAGTTCGCCGTGCTCTCGGACGTGCTGCCCCGGAGGCTCCCGAGGTTGATGCCTGACGCGCTCCCTCGTGCCTGCGCCGACGACCTGGCCGTCGCCCTCGTCCGCGGGGTGGCGGACGCGCCGATTCTAGAGCAGACTTTTCGACGAATATGAACGGCTTTCGGGTCTTCGGCTGCGCCGCGGGAAAACAGTTTGGGTGCCTCTCTCCGTGGACGCGCTCGACCATGCGCGGGTGCGCTTGCAGGCAGCTGCGCCCGCGTGGAGCGACATCACAATTCGCAGGCGTGCGACGTACCTCGGGTTCGTGGTCGGCCCGGAGCGCGCTGAACATTCATGGGCAAAGCCGTTGGAGAAGTTTCGGTTGCGTGCCGAGGTCTGGCAGGGCATAGGCTGCGGCATGCGATTGAATCTCTTAGCGTATCGGATATACATTTTCCCTGTGCTCTCCTTCCTCCTACAGTTGGACCGCTTGCCGTCGACATGGGCCACCGTGGGGCAGCAGGCCTGCGCGTTCCTGTTTCCTGGCCCCCGGTGTTGGACTACGGCAGCGGCTCTCCGCTGCTTGCGGACATTGGGATTTCCAGAGGAGTTGCCTGGCGCCCACGTCGCAGCCCTCGCGGCCAAATGTCGTGTCCACCGATGAGAAAACAGCGCGAACGGGGGGCTGCAAGTTCGGCGTCGTCTCCGGGCCCTGGACGCGGTCCGCGGAGATTCCGACCAGGTTGTGCGCGTAGGTGTCTGGCGGAACTGGTACGACCACAATTTCTTCGCGAACCTTCAAGATGCCCGCTGGCGTCTTCAACGAAAAACTGTCGAAGCCGGCTTGACAGTCGAGGCGCTGGTGCAAGGTGACGCGGCTGAGCCGACGCCGAAGACGGGCTGGCAGAAGCTGTGCAAGGCGCTGCTGGTCGACCCGCGCCCTGAAGGAGCGACCCGCCACCTCGACCGCTGCCTCTCTCGCCTCTCCCTCCCTCTTCTCCCTGGCCGCCGCCTCGAGCGCGCGAAGCTGGCGCTGAACGGCCTGGCGCGCCTGGTGCCCCCGCGGGTTTGGGCATCGGCGTGCAGGGCCCTCTGCAACGGCTGGCTTACGTTGGAGGGTGAAAGAGGGGGTCTG